GGACCACGATCGGCTCACACTCGCGTGGTTAGTTGTGAGATTGTTCAAAGTGACAACAGAAAACGTGATGTTTATACCAAGGTATGTTCCATGTTCACTAAATATTTTATTGTTGTTAGCAAAACCGGTTTTAATTTCAACGTTACGTCTCCAAATGGCAGAAACTTATTAATCAAAAAGTAATGCTACGAACAGCAATAATGGTATATAAATCATTAGACAACTGGGTACCCAAGTACATAAGTGACTTGTTTGTCTTAAAGTCATCAGTGACAAAACGAATTACAAGAAGCTCAGAGAACAACGAACTGTGGATACCGCGAACGAAACTAACAATTAGGCAGAAAACGTTGAAATTCAGTGGTGCAACATTATATAACAGTTTACCACGTGCGACCAGACAATCAACGTCATTAAGCTCCTTTAAAATAAGAGCCTATAAATACTTTCTAGATACCTATATATAAGTTATTTGTTTGTACAACTTTTATATGTTCTTGTTGTACTGATGTCCAATTTAATGTGTAGTTTTAATAGTAAATTTGTAATAAGTAGACGATAACAGTTGAACAGAAGGCCCAGTGTAAGATTAGCGTTGCTAAACTGGTTTTTGTATAATTGCACCTTCTTTAAATAAAGTTTATTATTACTATTATTATTATTATTATTATTATTATTATTATTGATCAAGTACACACGAAAAATATCACATCTCCAGGTAAGAGTAGGCCAGGCAAGAGCAGAAACGTTCTATAAAAAAATAACGCCAACGCCTAATGCGTAGGAAAAGCTGTCATTTAATTTCAAGCAATAAATTCCAGACGAGTGGATCTGTTCAGCGATGACTATACTTATAGGCAATGTTATACTCTCCTAGGTGAACATAGCCGAATCTCTCAACGACGAAGAGGTAAAGAAGATTCACGATGGTCGGAATACGAAACTCGGACACCCAACCACTCGAAGAAGTTGGCATGGACAATCGTCGGCACGTGTTTCGTTCCGACAGTCTCCGACAAACAAAAACATAATTCCAACAAATGGTTCTCCCAGATATTCCTTGAATGGACAGCAACAACCAGTCCACGCAAAACTAGTTGCCGTAAATAATCACGAAGATAGGATGCGTGCGCATTGGTCTACCGGTAGTCTCCGACTGCATGCTTCGGAAAGGCCTCGGCTTTTGTCAGATACTGTCGTCATGAACAGACCTCGTGGATACCCGAGTATGAATTGTAACGTTCATCCGAATTTTGAAAGGAATTTCAACGGGTGTCGGAGCAGAAACGTCGAAATGGCACAAGCGTCGGATGTCGGTGTAAGACCAGAACGCCGGCGATCACCGCCCGATTATTTGACAGCAATAAAGCACTCAAAAGGTAGATTTTGTATTATCTATTTAGGAAAGCACGCAATTAGCCATTCGGAAGTTGATGAGTGGACTGGGGACGAGTGTTAAAAAGTCAGTGCCGAAATTAAGAAATGAACCAAATCACTAAAAAGACCACTTCAAAATTAGTGAATATACAAAGTTTGAAGACGTTTACATGAATACCCTTCGAATTATAAGCTTTCGAAAATTGTGAAATTACTGATTAAAAGACTGTTTTTGGGACGCGCGTCCGCAAAAACAAGAATTACAGTCCATTTCATCATACGGTAAATATCGCGATTTTCGAAAGCTTATTATTCGAAGGGTATTCATGTAAACGTCTTCAAACTTTGGGCACTTTTTAACAACACTCGTCCTCAGTCCTCTCATCAACTTCGGAATGGCTAATTATTTTACATTTGCAAACTAAGCATTCGAAACTTCACTAACTATCATGTTTCGCTCGCTACTCTGGTTTAAATAAATGATTACAAAGCCCAGTCGAATTGTAATCAAGACCCAACGTTTCGACACTCCAGTCTAGTGTCTTCATCAGGGGTGATCTAAAACTGCGATCATGGCTTCTTAAATACCCAAGGGATGACGTCACCTGCCAAGAAGATGCATATATTCCTCTGGCAAATAGGCGCCGTCATCCCTATTCAAAGCATGATGACTTATATTTATATGCCACGCTTCTAGGCAAAGTCTTTGACCATAGCGATTGTTTGTGGTAATTACTTTAGAGTTTTCCCACGCAATCTCGTGTTTGGTGTAACATACATGTTCGGCTAAAGCTGATTTTCCCTTGTCTAAAGTTGAAACGGCCTTTTGATGTTCTTTTAGCCGTGTTTCAACTTTAGACAAGGGAAAATCAGCTTTAGCCGAACATGTATGTTACACCAAACACGAGATTGCGTGGGAAAACTCTAAAGTAATTACCACAAACAATCGCTATGGTCAAAGACTTTGCCTAGAAGCGTGGCATATAAATATGAGTCATCATACTTTGAATAGGGATGACGGCGCCTATTTGCCAGAAGAATATATGCATCTTCTTGGCAGGTGACGTCATCCCTTGGGTATTTAAGAAGCCACGATCGCAGTTTTAGATCACCCCTGATGAAGACACTTAGACTGGAGTGTCGAAACGTTGGGTCTTGATTACAATTCGACTGGGCTTTGTAATCATTTATTTAAACCAGAGTAGCGAGCGAAACATGACTGTTATATTATGTTGTACAAATTCCATAATTAAAGATTCATTTGTACAAAATTGCCCATACATTTTTTGCTTTTGGACCAGTAAACTATACGTAGGTATAAAAACGAAAGACTCGGAAGTAGTCTTAGGTACGTCTTGACTCTTAAGTTTGTACCAGACCAGGTACGCGGCAAAAGTTGTCGGAGTACCAGTCAGGTACGGCTAAAAATATTGAATTATCGCACCCTGGGCATAGCTCTGACTTAACTTGCACTCCCCTCTCATCAGCCCTCATGAAATATTTAGAGATTTTAGTGGAGACTGTTAATTAACCCATTCAGTGGCAGCACTCTCCCCCTGACGAGTAAAATCGTCTGGCATTAGACAGAGTAAAATAAGTAGGGCACATCTGGGTTCATTGCCACTTTAATAAATAAAGGATTAAATTAAATATTTATAAAAACTACAGGATGAGGTTTTTTAATTTTTTGATAATCCAAAACTGCAAAACATTTTTATGACTAGAAAATGTCATTATCTCGACCAATCCCTTATGAAAAAAGTCTATAGGTGCCCTATTGGTGACTATAGGAAATGTTCCAATTCCCTATAGAAGCCTATAGGCACCCATAGACTGAGCTCTATAGGCTTATAGTTATCCCTATGGGTCACCTACTAGTAGTAGGTAGAAAATGTTCCAATTGCCTATAAAACCCTGTGGAACAAACTGCTGATGAACCTGAACCTAGGCCACCTGCTACCATTATCAATATCATATCTGGGCAGCTACATGCAGCAAAGTGGTGTTGAAAGTATGTCTTCTGTGTATGGTTACGTAACCATAATTATCCAGTTTTGTATGACGAGTAAAATCGTCTGGCGTTAGACAGATCGAGTAAAATAGCCCGGTGTTAGATCTGATAAAATAAAATAATAATTATACAGTTGATTTCACATAACTTTTCCGTGAATGTTGTGAACTTCGTTCCAAACTTCGTTCCGAACTTCGTTGTGAAGTTCAAAAGTTCATACTGAAATTCGCAAGCCGGTTTGTAAACAAAGCCTCTGATTGGTCCCTTAACAAAAATAAGCCAATTAGAGGCTTTATTTACTAACCGGCTTGTGAATTTCAGTATGAACAACGAAGTTCAGAACGAAGTTTGCAACATTCATGGAAAAGTTATGTGAAATCAATTGTATTAACTATTATAAGTAGGGCACAAAATGTACAGGGTGCATTGCCACATTAATTATAGCGTGATATTTGGAGTTGCACCCGAAATCATAAATTTGTTGTCTCCAGGGTGAGGAATTGCTTTTTTTGCATACTTCAATAGGGATGGAGAATATTACATATTACACCAAACATTAAAATTTAAATCCTAGCTACCTCTGGCTCTGTGTAACTGCCCACTCTGAACTGAAGAATTCCTTGTATTTCACAATATCTCTTGGAATATCACAATACGTGAAAAAGTAATGAAAACAATGTCAAATTCGTTTGGTTTTACGACTACTGGATTTTAGCTGCCTTCTCTCTGGGAACAAGGGAATATCTATAGCCCAAAGTGGAAACAATCGATTTGTAAACAAAATTTTACAAAAATATGGCGGCCTCATGGGGACGACATTTTCGAAGAATCCTCTCGTTTTCACATGAAAGAAATGTGTGGACTTTTGGATATTATTCTACTAATGAACAAACATTTAGAGTTTTCAGACCATTATTTGCAGCTCGATCTTGCCAATCCAAAACTTTTCAAACATCGTGCACCTGCACCTCAGGTGAGTTGATCTGTTGATGCTGATCAGTGATCATGCTGTGAACTAACCTGTCTTAGGTCTGTTTTATACGTCGAATTTCGGTCGCGTCGAATGCAATTCAAACAATAGATAATGAAGCTTAATGAGGTTTATCATCCCATTATCTATTGTCTATTTGAATGTCTTACGAGTTTACCACAAAAATGACCTTATAGATTCTTTTCATGTCACGTACGTCAGTACAGCAATGTTAAATCGCCCAGCCCCTTCTACTGATAGCTCATTAGCCTTTTTAAAGATGGTTTTTAGCTGGCCCCATTAAGGCCATCCTCTCTCTATTAAGCCCCGCCCCTCAGTGGCGGAAATTCACTTTTTCTGGGGGGCAAAGCCTCCTAAGGCGGCCGCGCCCCACCAAGATTTCTGCCACTGCCGCCCCTTCGATCAAAGAAACATGTGTGTACTGACCAGATTTATTATCTTCTGACTTGCAACCCTTTGGTAGAATTGAGCATTAACGGTATTAAATGGGTATTTGGATAACTGTAGGGGCCAGAGACGGCCAGATACCGCAGAAGCATTTCGAAAGGGGCACTTTTTTATATGACCAAAATCAAACAATTTTATGTTGTTCATGAGCCGAACGAAAATTTTTGAAAATATGGAGTCTCTATAACGTCGGAAATGGCCTTTACAGAATCTTTACTACTGCAATTAAAGGGCACTTTCTTTCCAGCAAAAGAGGGCATTCAAGAAATACTTTTTTCGTTCTTTAATTAAATGGGGCAGTAATTAGCCAAGAAAAAAGGGCACCTTTTTCACTTTTGTAAAAGTGGGGGGGGGGGGGCACATGGAGAGGGCTTACAAAATTGCCCTGTCTCTATTGGCAGGCATTTAGCCATGCAGGCCTGCATCCAGGGATGGATTTACTGAGGGTGATATTTGCACCCCCTGGCCAGGGGGAGGGGTGCTATTTTTCATGATAAAGCAAAAAATAATAGAGACAAAATGAAATTCAGTGATTTGAGCAATAACATGATATGGTAAGTGAACTGTGAACAACAATTACAATTCAACTACAGTATGTTGATGGGTGGGCGGCACACATGACCGACACAATTCGGCACCAGAGCTGGCAGAGCACCCCCCCCCTACCAGATCATGCTGGATCCATCCCTGACTCCATGTCTCCACCCACCTGTTCTAGCCAGAAGCCCACTTTAAAATAATGATTTTTTTGGCAATTTTTTAATATATAGACATGGACAGCCTAAGCAAATATTTTCTTTAAATAGCAACTTACAAAGTTAACTTACAATTGATTTTTTACCTAGCTCATGAGAATAAGGCCACATGCACATAACTTTTTGGACATTCAGTCTTGATCAACATCCACTCCCAGGCTAAATTAAGCATGTCTACTCTATTATAGACATCTAAGGAATATTTGTATATATAGATATAAGTTAGTATAGAAACAAATGAATAAGTATTTTATGAATTAGTGAATAAAGTATTTTGCTTTGTATATTAATCACATGTCATGACCATGACAGCATTTACCATTTGATTTCCAAACTTAGAGAGCTCTAGATTTGACTAGCCTGAGTTCAACTATAATTGAGGTTGTCAAGGGGCACAACCAAAATTTCTGAAAGCTCACCCAGTGCCCTATGCACTGAAAGCTCCTCTGGAACAGCTGGAGCTGGAATGCCTTGAAAAGGAAGGCATAATATCCCCAGTACAATTTTAAAAATGGGCGGCCCCAATAGTACCAATAGTAAAGTCAGATGGGTTTATTCGTGGAGACTACAAATGCACCATTATAACCAGGCTTCAAAATTGGATAATTGTAAACCCAATTCCTAAGATCGAAGACTTGCTCACTACCCTAGGGGACAGCCAAAAGTTCACAAAACTGCACACCCTTACGAAAATTTCCTATAGGAATTCCTATAGGAAAAATTCCTATAAGAATTT